TTTTTTTTTTTTTTTTTTTTTTTTTTTTTTTTTTTTTTTTTTTTTTTTTTTTTTTTTTTTTTTTTTTTTTTTTTTTTTTTTGAAGAAAGTGAAAAGTCTGTATTTTTCTTAATTTACTTTTATTTTATAATATTGATGAATTTTAATAAAAGCATTAAATTATTGAAGTAATTATTATTTCCTTGGTTTGAATATCCCTATTCATCGATTGTTACATAAATATGAATATAAAAAACAATATAATATATTATAATTTGTTTACGTAACGTTAATGTTTCATTTATTAATAATATCAATTTCTTCAAAATTTCACGATTATTTGAATGTCTTTTTAGATATTTGATTAAAATTTGTCAAATTATAGCCTAATTTCTAAAATTTCTAAAATTTTTAATGGCATTGATATTTACATATAAATATTATATATATTTTTAGATATGATGATTAAAAGTGGACAATTAAAATAGTGAGTTGACGGCGATTTGTAACTTTAAAAGAGTGGAAACTTCTCCCGTTTTAGAACTGTGAGACTGACGATATGTAACGGGGCAAAATAGACAATATTTGCTAGCGGTGGACTTGGGGTGTGACTAATGGTATCAAAGTCATGTGCCAATGAAGACATTGGGCCCCAATGAGGGTAGACATCGAGCGGTCAGTGTGCCAGCAAGAACACTAGGCCCCCCAAGGAAAGTGAATTGTGAGATCTCATATCGGTTAGAGAAAAGAACGAATCATACGTAACGAGCCAAAGTTGGGGGAAGACGCCGAACGATCAGTATGCAACGAGGACTTAGGTCCCCAAGGAGGATAGATTGTGAGATCTCATATCGATTGAAGAAGAGAACGAAACATACATAACGAGCCAAAGAGAACAATATCTGCTAGCAGTAGACTTGATTTATTACGTTTCTGTACACATCAATATTGTTTATACTTAGAAATAATGATTTAAAAGGGTTAAATCATTGCATAAGTAAATCATCCGACTAATTCAAACAATTTCCATCATTTTTTTCAAAATTTCATCAACATTTCTATAAAATCTAGATCTCGACTTTTTCATCAACATCAACACGTCAAACATTGATCATCATTGATAGATTAAGTTTATCATTTATAATCTAGATATGTTTATGTCTATTGTCTTGATTTAAACATAAGATCACTCCATCGATGATAGACACGAGTATATAAAAATGATATATTAGTATCATATACACGAGTTACAAAAATTTAAACAGGATTATGAATTTCTTATCCTTTGAACTCGTATTGAATCAATGCACTCATGAATGAATATGTTCCAAGAAAATTTGAAGTCAATTCAAGCCTCCTCCTTTATAGGCAAATGCGCCAGCGTTCCAAGTTGTTTGATCCACGATGCTGTAACAAGTCCTCCAGAATTTGGTTTTACCCTACTTATGGTGTATCATCTCCCATAAATATTTCTATGAACATGTAACAGTCCAAGTCACCGCTAGCAGATACTGTCTTCTTTGGATTTTTCCCTTCAGATTTCCAAGTTTTTAAAACGCATATGCTACGGAGAGGTTTCCACACCCATAAAAAGATGCTTTGTTCTCCTCCCCAACCGATGTGAGATCTCACAATCCACCCTCTTCGGGCCCAGCGACCTTGTTGGCACGCCGCCTCATGTCCACCCCCTTCAAAGCTCAGCCTCCTCACAGACACATCACCCCGTGTTTGGCTCTGATACCCTTTGTAACAGTCCAAGCCCACCGTTAGCAGATATTGTCCTCTTTGGGTTTCTTCTTTCGGGTTTCCCCTCAAGATTTTTAAAACACGTCGGCTAGGGAGAGGTTTCCACACCATTATAAAAAAATGTTGCGTTCTCCTCTCCAATCGACGTGGGATCTCATAGAATGTTTGTTCCCATAATCTGAATATACACAATGGAGGATCTTCTACTGATATTGTTGCCAGATATTCGATCAGATGATCATCTTTTCTTCACTTGTTCAGGATTTCTGTTCTTCTTCCATGATCGAGGATCTCCCTTATGTTCAAGGATCTGCTTGTGCTCGTAATCCTCCTGGATATTGTAAGGAATATTGTTGTAGCTAGCATCGTACTCATTCTTTCGATCAATGTAGGCATTATTATCTAGACAGTGGTTTTGACAAGTTTTCTCATGCCTTGTTAATCTTGGTATGAAGCAATCCAAATCTGACTATTCTTTGTTTGTTTCTGGGCATAGAACTAATTTTATTGCATTACTGGTCTATGATGATAATATCATCATTACTGGTGCATCTTAGGCCAACATTCACTCCTGGAAATGCCATCCTCACAAAAGTTTTTAAGTTCAATTTGGGGTGTAATAACCTAAATTTTCCTATTGAATCGAAGGTCATTACTATACTTCTAATCTTTACATTTAAAACATAATTACTTCAATGAACTCTTTAGAGTTTCAACATTAACCTCATGCCTCATTTATTACCTAGGGAATAAACAAATAAAATAATACTAAATTAAACGTCTTATACTAACCTATATTTTATTAAATGCAATTATAACCAACCTCATGCAAATCTATACTAACCTATGCATTTATTAGTATAGGTGGGTTGTAATTGCATTTAATAAAATACAGGTTAGTATAAAGCATTTAATTCAATATTGTTTTTCCTTCTTTCTTTGTATTTGTTTATTCCTAAGGTAACTTTGTATTTATTTATTCCTGAGGTAATAAATGAGGCATGCGGTTAAAGTTGAAATTGTAAAGAGTTCATTAAAGTAATTCCACATTAAATGTAAGATTAGAAGTACAGTAATGACCAGATGGTATCAGAGCCAGACACCAGGCAATGTGCCAGCGAGGAGGCTGAGCCCTGAAAGGGGTTGGATACAAGGCAGTGTGCCAGTAAAAACGCTGGCCCAAAGGGGGGTGGATTGCGAGGGTCCCACATCCAATGGAGAATGAAATGAGTGTCAACGAGGACGCTAGCCCTCGAAGGGGGGTAGATTGTAAGATCCCATATTGGTTGGGGAGGAGAATGAAACACCCTTTACAAGAGTGTGAAAACCTCTCCTTAGCAGACGCATTTTAAAAACCTTGAGGGGAAGCCCGAAAGGAAAAGCCCAAAGAAGACAATATGTGCTAGCAGTGGGCTTGGGCTTTAGCCCACTCTTCTAAAGACATCTTCTTGTCCCAACGAAATGTAATTACTATCATCCTAGTACCACTTATTTATGAAGTATGTGTTGATAGTAGTGAAGTAAGAAAAGTAAAATGTAGTAAACTTAAAACTAGATGTTTACCTTAAGGTGGAATCAGAGGCATTTATCTAAGGTGGCTACTTCAAAGAGTTTGTTGGAGAAGGTAGGCACTGCCACATCTCCAAACTGGGCGGGGTGAAAGAAGCCAAGGTACCTGGGGAAATACTATATGGTGAGAGCTAAATAGTACAAAGCTCTAGTTGGAAACTTATTCATCAAATTGAACATCCTACCCAAAGTAGCAATACATATGAACTTAATTTACATATTTCATAACTCAGACAATGAATAACTAAGTTTATATAACTCAAATCTAACTTAAGCATCAGAAGAATCATGTGTTACATGTGTTAGACAAGCACTATCCTAGTATGGGAATGAACAACGCACATACTCGATCTAAATGAACACAAAGAACAAGAGAGAGAAAATGCAAGGAAGAATATTGGCTAGAGGTTTATATTGATAATTTCAAGTATGTACCGTAAAAGAGAATACAGAAACTACATTTTCAAAGTACTCCCCAAGGGTATATATATGGTTTAGCTCATTATATGTAACTTTACCAGATATAACATCTACTATATATAATCATCGGAGCTCTGCCAGCTTTTTAATATAAATAGTCGTCTACTATATATTTTCGTTTACTGTATATGACTATTTACCATATATAGTTTTACTATGCATAACAATTGAGTAAGTTATAAATAAGCAGCAGACTTCATAACTCAACAATGATATGATCAATAGACTTCATAACCCAACAACGATATGATCAAGTGATTACCCACAATATGTAACTTTTCATTCCTTTGCTAAAATATTCTTGTTTGATATAAGTGGATTCTTGAAGCATTTATAAAATGCAGAACAAACCAGAAACTATCCATGCCACATCCAATACTTAAATGACACACAATATTTAAAGGACACGCTACTACTTTGATGAATTTTATATAAGGATACAAATGTTGGTGCGTTGAAAAAGAATGTGCATATCACATTTTGGTGATGTCATTTTAAATAATTCTGATCTCTTTCCTTTTTTGTTTCCTTCCTATAAAACAGTCCTCTTATCCTATGTTTTGTGCTTCCCTATCAGCTCACAATCTCCTTGTAAACCTCTTCAGACTGCTTATAATTTTGAGTATGAAAATCTCGGGAGCCCACTTTCCAGATCCTGAAAAGTATGGCATGATCCAAAACCTCAATATCAATGAATTATTGTCTTATATTCCTCTTAACTCAGCCTCTACTACTGATGAAGGTGATGATCAGAACCAGAAGACTAGGATCAGCGTCGATGAGAGGAGGCGGAGGAGAATGATATCAAATCGGGAATCAGCAAGAAGGTCGCGGATGAGGAAACGGAAGCATCTTGATGAACTTTGGTCACTGGTGGTTCGGCTTCGGACAGAGAATCATAATCTTATGGAGAAGTTGAATCAGTTAACGGAGTCTCAACAGCAGGTTATTCAAGAGAATGTCAAACTCAAAGAAGAAGCAATGGATTTTCGACAGATGCTCACTGACTTTCAAATGGGAAGTCCTTACTCAACTCACTTGAGAGAGATGGAGTAAGCCCCCTGCAATACCTTTGATCTCATAGCTGAATCCTCTCAAGCCAATCTAACAAGTAGAGAAGTTTCCTTCCCCTGTATCACTAAGATCGTAGCTATTTTCTCACATAGTTCTTCCAGTTTCTCTCTGTTTTGGCATGGTTTTAATAAGCCTTTATCCTTTACTCAGCTGTATAAATTGAAGAAATAAGAACTTTTAACCAATAGACTTCCAAAATCAGCGTCCATATCAAGAGACATCACTTAATATTTGAACATCTGAATCAAAATTAGTTGAGAAAACACCTTGGTTTTCCGGTGTTTTCTCTGGGGACTTTTATCAAACACCATGTGGGCAAAAACACAAATCAACGTAACGGAACACCACCTAATCAAATTAAGCCAGAGTTTTGTAACATGTGAAGTGAACAACAATTATATGATCCGAGATCAAATAAAAGTAAGAACCAATTACATAAAATGATGGTGGAAATGGAGATGATAGAGGCAAATATCTAAATGATTACACACAAATCAAAAATGCAAAATCATCTGAAAAACAAGCAGTCATTTAGACAAACCGATCTGCAATTGAACTCGAATGTTCTTTTTTTCTCTCTTTTTTTTTTTTTTGGGGGGGTACCTGGGCATCAAATTCCTTGCTACCTTCATCTTGGTTTTAGCCAAGATTATCGATGTTCTCAAATCTCCAATTTGGATTCCACAAAATCGATACAGGGAACATATTCCAGTTGAAGATCTTAATCCAAATAGCGTTTAGATTCTTCGTTCATACGTAATCGTACTTGAGTGAAAAAAGAGAAAATCCTTCGCAAGCAAAAACTAAACTAATTTATAGTTCGTTAACAAAAATAAATTAATTAATTAATAAAAAATATTCCATTTCAACCTTGTCTAAAAAATATATTTAAAACTTAAAATTACTTTCTTTTTTAGTCTTAAATATTATAATTTTAAATAGAAAAAGATAAAATTTAACATTTTTAAACCTTTTAAATATAAATATAAAAAAAAATTTGAAGCTTCAAATAATCCGTTGATTTAAAGATATATGGAAAAATAACCAAGTAAAATATATTTCCTTTTTTATCTTTAATATATTAAATATTAATTTAAACCCTTCAAATTAAATATGTTTTTTTTTGTTTCCTTTAATACGTCTAATATATATTAAATATTTATTTAATGTTACTCTAAGTTACCAGTTTACAGGCTTCCATATAAAATTAATTAGTTAAATTTTCAGATTAATCAATTTTTATTTGTTAATTACAAGTCACTTTATTATTGGCTTTAAAGTTGAACTCTTATATCCACGTAACAAGTTGTGTTCATAGATATAATCATTACAAACAAATCAATTATTTTTGTTTCCTTGGTTGAGGCTGATCATAATATAAGAGGCCAAGGTCTATAAACTATTTATTTATTTTAAAAATAAAATAAAAAAATAATAAGAATAAAAGAGAATTTTAACTAAGAAGCTCGTGAATCCCAACTAGGGAGTCCGGGATAATGTTACGAGTGAAATTAGGACATGAAAAAAAAATCAACAACAAATATGGAAGAAAACTCAATGTAGAATAAAACGAGCTAAAGTACGATGAAAACTAAGCTGAAAACTTAGTTAGAAGCTCGAGTTCACTGGTTGACCTTATTGGGCATGTGCCCCTAGCCTCGGGTTACCCTAGTCCAGGCCAATTAGATCCTCCTTTGATCTAATTCAAAAAAGTCGACAAAAATCATAAAAGAGTCGAAAAAGATAAGTTCTTTCTAATCTCAAACAAATTTTAACGTTGTTGTCGTGTGAACGTCAAGTTCATTACCCTGCCCAAATTATGAGTACAACAATATATAAACTCAAATTCATACACGTTCTTACCCCATTGTAACAGTGAAAAATTGAACATTAGCTTTAGAAACGATATTATCATCGTAAACGGAACTCAATTAGTTAGAGGTCAATGGTTCGAATCTATCGAATTGGATATCAACTTGGATAGGTTCCCTATCGGACTCGGCTGTTCCAAGTTTGAACATGGTGTAAAATAAGGTTAATAATTGTAAAGAGGGGAATGGTCAGCTTGGGAAAGCTTGCATTCAATGAAAATTGAAAAAGGGAAGTTTGTCCAACACGAACATTGACCCGCGCGGCCCACAAATTTCGTACCACTTGGCCGAGTGAAAGTCGCTGCCAACCCACACAAAACACCACTCCGTGAGAGAGGAAAACAATTCCCAGAGAGAGGGAGGGGGGGAGAGAGAGAGAAACAGGGAGAGGATTCATTCCGTTGATTTTTTCGATCCGTTCATCGTCTTCTTTCTTCTTCACTCGATCAAAAACCCCAAAATCCCAGATGGGTTTCATTGATTCTTTCAGGTCAATCGATTGGGAGCATGAATCTTTCCCTTCTTATGAGGATTTCACTTTTCTTCCCCTTTTTGCGCTCCTCTTTCCCACTGTTCGATTTTTCCTCGACAGGCTTCTCTTTGAGGTATTCTATTCACTTCCCTTCCGTTTTCAACTTTCGTAACTTTCAATCAGTGCAGTGATTTTGTTTAATCATTGGATTGGCTGATTTCGTTGATTGAATTGAGATTCAATTGACCGTTGACCGGGTTATGTATTGATTGTTCATTGAATGATTATGTTTCTTTTATTGCCATCTGTTTTTGCATAATGACGATTAGGCTTTAATCTGCGTCGAGTATTTGGAATGAAGCTTTGGTTCAATCGCTCATTCATTCACTACTCAAGTTTTAATTTAGATACTCATTGTGTTGAGGATGGCCCAAAATAGGAAGTTTTTGGTTGTTTATGTTATCCGGACTAGATACCTTCTTGTTTGATCATGCGCTTGTGCTTTTAGGCGATGGATACTCATTGTGTTGTAGGGTATGTATTATGAAGTTCACAAGCTCGATATGATGAACTTTCTGAAATTTCAAGCACATTGGATACATTTTATACTCCATTTAAACTATAATGTAATTACATATACATGAATTTTTCAGGTGCCTGATTGTGGAATTTTGAGCAGTTTCTTGATTATCTAATGCTTAAATAAAGATTCTAATCAATCTTTTTATGAAAATGATACAAGATTGATCATGAAAATGCATTTTTCTTGTTGGAATCCTTCCCTTTGTACTAAAATTATGTTTGTGCTCTAGTTCCTAACCTGCCATGGTATGAATTCATCTTACAGAAAGTGGGAAGAAGATTGATCTTTGGCAAGGGATATCCGCTGAAGGATGCGAATACGGATGAGAAACAGAAGAAGATAAGGAAATTTAAGGAGTCTGCCTGGAAATGTGTTTACTTTGTTTCTGCAGAGCTGTTGGCTCTATCCGTTACGTATGACGAGCCTTGGTTTACTAGCACGAAACATTTTTGGGTAGGACCAGGAGATCAGGTCTGGCCTGACCAAAGTGCTAAGTAAGAGTCTTAGAGTTATCTGTTATTTGTGATGGTTCAGTGTTATGAAGTTCACTCTTACACTACTATAATTATGGGCGGATTCATGATTCTATCGTTACTTATAAAAATACGATGACTAAATTATTTGGTGTTAGTCAACACTAAAACTTGTATCTTCGATCAAGAGACCAAGTGTTACAAGATTTCATCGATTATTATCTTATATGTTTCAGGTTGAAATTGAAGGGATTATATATGTATGCGGCTGGATTTTATACGTACTCCATATTTGCTTTGATTTTTTGGGAAACAAGACGTTCGGACTTCGGGGTGTCCATGAGCCACCATGTAGCAACGCTCATTCTCATCGTACTTTCCTACATCTTTCGGTACGTCCTACTCTTTTCTTTCTTTAAAGCTTTGAAGTGTTTTGCTTGGATGATACCACTTACTAAAAGAATGAAATGTGTTGGGCTCAACCTGTCTATTGTGTTCATTTACAGATTGCACTGAAAACTGATCATGCTGTGTAAATACTATTAAAATGGTACTTAGCCGAACATTAGTCCAATTTATGGAAAGACCAACATGTTATATTGTTCTTGTAGATTTGCTCGTGTCGGTTCTGTGGTGCTCGCTCTTCATGATGCGAACGATGTTTTTCTTGAGATAGGAAAGATGTCCAAATACGGTGGCGCCGAGACGTTGGCTAGCATTGCGTTTGTACTTTTTGTTGTGTCTTGGTTATTGTTACGTCTCATCTACTATCCATTTTGGATCCTTTGGAGCACAAGGTTTGTAACTTTTGAGAGGGATAAGTTACATGATGTCCAATGAACTCATATATTGTTGCCTAATTCTTCTCCCCATTCTATTTCAGCTATGAAGTTCTTCTTGTATTGGACAAGAACAAACATCCAGTTGATGGACCAATCTACTATTATGTGTTCAATACTCTTCTATTTTGCCTTTTAGTTCTTCACATATATTGGTGGGTGCTCATTTATCGAATGCTGGTTAAACAAATCGAAGCTAGAGGACAGATTAGTGAAGATGTTCGTTCAGGTGATTATATCTACCCGTGTAAATGACGTTCATTTTTTACTTCACTTTTATGTATATGGTAGAGGTCGAGGTTAAAGAACTGTTTATGGGATAGAGGAAAGTTTTATGGCGACCCTCGGTTTATTTTGTTCTCGATGTAACGATATTGAAAAATATTCTTAAGAGTTTTTGTTTCGGCTCTCTCACAATTCGTTTGACTTTGCAGATTCTGAGGGTGAAGAAGATCATGAAGATTGACAAGGAACAATCAATGCAGAAAATACTACTGTTGTATACATGAAAGGTCTGGTATGAATGCTTAAACCATTTGGATTGTCTTACAAGAAACAGAAACTGGCATTTGCTGCTGCATATGATTATCATTCTGCATTTATTCTTTTGACACTGACATATAGTCTTAAAACTTCACCCCTTTCTAGAAACTAGATTAAGTAACAGCCTAAGTCCACCGCCAGTAGATATTGTTTTCTTTGGGCTTTCCCTTTCGGGCTTCCCCTTAAGATTTTTAAAATGTGTCTGCTAGGGAGAGGTTTCCACACCCTTATAAAGAATGCTTCATTCTCCTCCCCAACTGATGTGGGATCTCACAATCCACCCTATTGGGGGCCCAACGTCCTTGTTGGCGTTCCCTTCTCCAATCGATGTGAGACCCCCCAATCCACCCCCCTTCGGAGCCCAGCGTTCTTACTGGCACACCGCCTCATGTCCACCCCCCTTCTAGGCTCAGCCTTCTCAGTTGCATATCGCTTGGTGTCTGGCTGCACCAATACCATTTATAATAGCTCAAGCCTACAACTAGCAGATATTGTCATTTTTGGATTTTTTCTTTCGGGCCTCCCCTCAAGGTTTTTAAAACGCATCTGCTAGGGACAGCTTTCCACACCCTTGTAAAGAATGTTTCCTTCTCATCCCGGGATTATTTGTGAAATAATTATAAGAAACTTTTTCCTCCTACCTTTTTGTGGATTTTAAGGGTGACAACACTGGACTTTTATACTTAAATTTGTTTATCTCATCTCATTACTTGGACTGCTAGTGAGTTTCCATGTTGTTTTGTGGGCAGATGAGATAGAGATTAGTCATACAATGTGGTTCTTGCCAAACTGGATATAAGTCAGTCGTGGCGTCGTCTAGTTGGATGAACGAACCGTGTATCATTTCATCAATACATTCGGTCGGGGTAAGCAAAGGATGCAAGATGGAGAAGGGTTGGCAGTTGGAGGAATTTAAATCTTGATTTGAAGGTTTTGGCCTGTTTTGCTTTTGATTGTTTTGCAGAGGTATATTAAAGCTTGAAACACTAAGGTATATCAGATACTTGTTGAACTCATAATTTCACCCTTGACTTCATTATTTATTCTTTCTCATTAACTGCTGAGCCTTCATTTCTCTCTGTTTATGTAAAATTATACCAATAAATGATTTCATTGACTTGAAAGATGAACCTTCATCCTCTGCTCACTGCTGTGTTTAAGAAGAAGCTTTCCAGATCCCCAAGATTCTGCTGTGTTTTTCTCTGTTGAACAGTATTTGTAATCCATGGCTTGTTTGAGAACCATTTTCAACATGGTTTCTGTTTTTAAGAATAATTTTTATGTAATAGTTAAAAGCCCACCCTTAATAGATATTATCTGCTTTAGCTCGTTACGTAATGTCATTATCAAATGCATCTGTTATGTAGTGGGTTCCCTCTCCAACCGATGTGGAATTTCTCAATCCACCCACTTGGAAGCTCAATGTCCTCCCTAGCACCCTGTTCGGTGTCTGACTATGATAACAGTTGTAAGAGCCTATGTCTACCACTAGCGTGCATTGTCTGCTTTGTCCCATTACGTATCGTCGGCTCAATGTCCTCACTAGAACTTTGTTCGGTGCTTGACTATGTTAACAGCTGTAACAGCCCAAGTTCACTACCAACAGATATTGTTTGTTTTGGCTCATTACGTATGCTAAGAAAAGTTTTCGTATCTTTATAAGTAATGTTTGTTGCCCTCTACCCACGTTTTGCTTCGCTTTTACACTTAACTTATTAAATGAGTGAACTATATATTTGGTCCAAAATATATATATATATATTTGGTAAAAAAAATATATATATTTGGTTAAAAATATTGAAGGAGAAACTTTTTCATCTTCACGTCTGTACAAAGAAACCGAAAGCCAGTTCTCTTCACGTTCATAAGGAAGAGCTCCAAGCATCCTAGTTTCCAGTTGCCGAACTAAATTTCCCTGGCGACGGCCTCTCTTCCGGTTGGTATCTCCGCCTTCTCTCCGCTGCTCCCCCTTTATATGTTCTTTTAGTTCAATTTAGATCTTTAATTTTCCCTACGCATTTCGTTAATTTGTGGGACTAAGCCGAGGTCCTGCCTTTTCTCATAGAAAACGAAGCAACTCTGGCGAAAAAACATATATAATGATCTACTCCTTTTTGCTCTTGGAAATTTGCGATCGAGTTTGATTTCTTGTCGAATAAGTTATTTTGTTTTAATGATGGGGAGCAGAGGAATTAATATATTCATCAACAGAAACGCACAGCCTAAAGGCCTTAGGAATGAGGGGTCTCTAAACCTAAACTGATGAGCGAGGGCTTAGTGATACAGAAAGATTTATGTAAATAACTTCTTGATTAGGCACAAAAAAGATCAGAAGGAGAAGACTTATCTGAGGACTTGTTGAAAAAGTTATGTGGAGTAACCTGATTCTGAATCTAGGTAGGAGCTTAAATTTGATGTAGGAAGCTTCTCCAATTTAAGCTTTGAAATCTGTTCATTTTGAAGAGTTATTATGTTTTGAATTTTGGTTTAGTTGGCTTGATGTTTGTTGCTGGTTGTTTTCTATCTTAATTTTGCTCAAGAAGGTTGTGATTCTGATTATTGTGAACTGATAAGGCGTTGAAGGATGGTATTTTTGTTGGAGATCCCTGCCTGGATTAAGCACTCCTATGGCATTTTTTTTACAGGAACAAAATGGATGATATCCTAACGGAGGTTCCTCCTCCTTCAAGGTTTTTCCAAGATGATCTTAACAATTTCGCTCCTCCATCACCACCTCTTCCTTCCCTATTTCTGTTGTTATCCAATCCTAAACCTATTGAACCTCTCCGCCCATCTTTACTTGTCGTTGCCATTTCTTCCCCTTCTCTACATCTTTTCCATCATTTATCTGATAAAACCCTTATTGGAAGTCTCATCCTACCTGAAATTCCTTTCTCTGGGAACCATATACAACCCTCGGTTTATGACAAATCTTGTAACATTTACTCCATTGATGAAGATAATGAACAAGTTATCCTTGTTTCCATTCAGTGTTCTGTTCCTGCAGAGAGATCCCTCCTTGTTGCAAAACTACTGCTTGGTGATAAAATTGTTCCTGAGAGGGTTCTGATCTTGGATAGTCTTCAGAGCCAAAATTTTCGGGGCAGGCTCTCAACTGATGAGACTCTTTCTTTTAAGCTGGAGACGTCTTCTGAAAGAAAGAGTCGAGATGAGGGTTATGGTGGTTCACCATTGTTAAAGGGCCTTGATTACTATCCATCTGGTAGTGTTGTAGATGGCTTGGCTGCTGCTTTGCTTGGAAGTTGTCAGATGAAGAATATCAAGGGAGCCCTCTGTGTTTCATGGCCTGAATATGGAACTGAGGTGATATCTCTGCTTAGCTCCTTACTTCATCAAAATGTACTCTTGGGACCTACATTAGAATTCTGTACTGAAAGTAATAATGGGGATGGGTACCTGAACCGGATTAAGGACCTGGAATTATACACCTAGAAGAGTTGGGTTGTGAGATTACTAGTTATGTCTATTGTATGGTGCACTTTTTCTTTCTTTTTTTTTCTGTGCCCCAGATACTGTTGAAATAGATAGAAACTCACAAGGTCATCCTTATTGAGGAGGGATGAAATTCGACAATTGCTTCTTAAAAGCTATTTCCTACTGTATATGCTGATTGTTATGGGCTATGGACGGTGTTTATGTAATTGTTTTAGTGTTAGGCTGTTAGCTTAGCTAATACCAATGGTATATTCAGCTCTTTATCATGCTTGTGATGATAATCATTCTGCTAATACCATACACTTGCGCTAGAAGTTCTCCGTTTGCTATTTTAAACCTACAGCTCAAACCTGGTTAGGGTTAGGGTTAATGTAACAACCCAAGCCCACCGCTAGCAGATATTGTCCTCTTTGCGCTTTCCCTTTCGGGCTTCCTCTCAAGGTTTTTAAAGCACGTCTCTTTGGGCCTTGAAGGGGGGGTGGATTGTGAGATCTCACATCGGTTGAAGAGGGGAACGAAGCATTCTTTATAAGGGTGTGGAAACCTCTCTCTAGCAGACGTGTTTTAAAAACCTTGAGGGGAAGCTCAAAAGGGAAAGCCCAAAGAGGATGGGGAACGAAACATTCTTTATAAGGGTGTGGAAACCTCTCCCTGGAAACCTCTCTCTAGCAGACACGTTTTAAAAACCTTGAGGAGAAGCCCGAAAGGAAAGTCCAAAGAGGATAATATATGTTAGTAGTGGGCTTGGATTGTTACAGTTAGTAATTTAATCACGTACCTAGATTTTATACTAAGTAACAGTGTCAGACTTAATCATCTATTAAGTTCCTGTGTTTTTGTAAAGTCCCTGTCTTGTTTGGATATTTTCTGCTTTTGCCAAGACTTGTTGAAACTGGAAAACATTTATATATGAATGCATCACGTTAGTAGAAAGTGAATGCAACTCAGATAAGTGGATTGATTACTCATAGTTGAACCAATCATTTGCAAGATACTATCTTTCTTCAATTAGGTCATTCCCCCCATTCACACACAAAAACAGAAAAAATAAAAATTCACAAAGGTATCGGAAATTTGCAAGTACAATAATACAAAGCTATATAGACCATTGTTATTTTACATATTGTGTGCAAGGGGTCAACTGACCATCTTAATTGAAAACTACAGAAAACCATAGCTAAGAGAAGGACCCATATAAATTACATTTACAAGCTCAAGACTTAAAATGCTGCCAAAAATAGAAAAATCACCTAGAAGATCATTCTTCAATAACACAAGGAAATGTTCTTCAAGAAATGATCATTGGTTACAAGGTTAGCCATTATCTTTAAAATCCATCATCATGCTATTCAGAGTTCGCTTATTTTGAGAATGTTCACCAGCATACTGCTCTTTGCATGAAGTATGTTTGGCTGATGAATATCCCATTTTCTGGGCATTGGCCGGTTCGATCTTAATTCTTATCTTGGTCCTGAGAGCTCTATTGCTTGAGCAAACAATGAAGCGTCGTCAGTAAGATCAGAGTAACGTTCTGAAGAGGAGAACTCATTGGCTCTCACCCTGCTTGCTTCTGCTCTTTGGGAAGCTTCCCATTTCTCTGCAAGCCCATCTCCTTCAAGCATCCTGACCACTTCAGACATCTTTGGCCTATTGCTTGGAAGATATTGGATGCACAAGAGAGCTACTCGAACAATTTCTTCAATTTCAATTGGGTCATAATTGCTTCTCAAGTCTTTGTCAACAAGCATTTCTAACTTCTTTTCTTGGTGTAGCTTCTTTATCTGCAAGTATAGTAATTTGTTAAGCTGAGCCTGCCGGTCTTAAATTTAGGTAACTTTTACATATGACAACTCTTTAAGCTTACCCAGTCTAGTATTGCACCCTTTTGGTTTGCTGCTTTTCCAAATTCAAGAGCTCTTTGACCTGATACAAGCTCAAGTAATAGAATTCCAAACCCGAAAACATCAGTTTTCTCTGAGGATTGGCCGGTTGACAGATACTCTGGTGCAATGTGCCCAACAGTTCCTCTCACAGCAGTAGTGACATGTGAATCACTGTGATCTAGTAGCTTTGCGAGCCCAAAATCACCGACTACTGCCTCACAGAAATCATCAAGCAGTATATTTGCAGCTTTCACATCTCTGTGAATTATTTTTGGATCACACTGCTCATGCAAGTATAACAAGCCCCTTGCAGCTCCCAAGGCAATTCTCTTCCTTGTACCCCAATCCAGAGCTGGTTTTGCTGTCCATTTCAAAAGAATAGTTTGAACAAGTACGTAATTGAGATAAAATATGTAGAAGTAGAAATTCAACAGTGTACTCATTCATTCAGTATGTCGAGGCTTGATTACCTTTAAGACGGGTAGCAACACTGCCATTAGACATATATGGATAGACCAAAAGCCTCTCAGTTTCTGTCATACAGAAACCATACAGCTTGAGGAGGTTCCTATGCACTGCCAAGCTTATCATCTCCACTTCAGTCTGAAATTGGGTCTCTCCTCTCATAGCATTCCCATCTTTGAGTCTCTTGACAGCTATAATGGTGCCATCTTGTAGATATCCTCTGTAAACATTTCCAAACCCACCTTTTCCAATCAAGTTTTTACTGCTGAAATTGTGAGTGGCGTTCCGAAGTTCCCTGAACTGAAACCTCTTTATGTTTCCAAGGCTAAGTTCTTCATGGTGCCGATCTAAAAAAACGTTAATCAGTTTTGTTAACTATGATGGAACACTACTTTTGTCTAATGATCATGCAGTGATATTTTGTAGTTACCATTAGTTTCAAAGAATATTTGCTGGTTGCGCCTATGCTTCCGCCAGATAAAGAAACCATATGCAAGAGTTAACAGACAGATGCAGGCCAAGCTGAGGCCAATGACTAGAGCAATTCTCTGGCCTTTATGTCTCCTAGGAGGTTGGGAGTCTGGAAGTAGTCAAAAATAGAAATTCAGTTACTCTCTTTGGAAGAAATATGGGGCTCAATCTCTAAAAATGTGAACAAGTGTAGAGATGAACTAGTTGAGGGATTAAACAAAAAGTGGAGGATTGTTAATGCAACGACAGAAGACCACCGCTAGCAGATATTGTCCTTTTTGGGCTTTCCCTCTCGGACTTCCCCTCAAGGTTTTTAAAACGCATCTGTTAGGGAGAGGTTTCCACAACTTCATAAAGAATGTTTCGTTCTCCTCCCCAACCGACGTGGGATCTCACAATCAGGCACTCGTTCCCTTCTCCAATCAATGTGGGACCCCCAATCCACCCCCTTTGGGGCACAGCGCCCTTGCCGGCACACCGTCTAGTGTCCACCCCCTTTTGGGTTCAACCTCCTTCTAGCACATCGCTTGATGTCTGGCTTTGATACCATTTGTAACAATCCAAGCCCGCCGCTAGCAGATATTGTCCTATTTGAGCTTTCCCTTTCGGGCTTCCCCTCAAAGTTTTTAAAACACGTATGCTAGGGAGAGTTTTCCACACCCTTATAAAAAAATGCTTCGTTCTCCTCCCCAATCGATGTAGGATCTTACCGTTGATCTTTACGTTGATAAAAAAATTTAAAAGAAATAGAAAATCTCAATCAATCAAAACATTTTGGAGGAACGCAGGCTGGAAAAGAGAATTACATGTGGAATTAGTGACAGCGAAAGAAAGTGGCAATGGAGTTGTTCCGTAGCATACTTCCTTAGAGCCAGGGGCACAAATCAAAGAATTTCCAGTAAAGCTGTACACAAATGAAACAATCAAGAGTAAAGATCAACCAAAACTAATTGAGAAAAGGAGAATAGCAAAAGTTGAAATCCTGTCTGTAACTCACTTATATGTCTTAGCCAACAATCTGGGCAGAGGACCGCTCAAATTATTATAGGACAGATCCCTAAAACAATGGAACAAAAAACATTCACTTCCAAGCACAACTAAAATATCAATAAGCGAAAGATTACTTGGCTGTTCGGGAGCTTGTTCTATATGACTTTTTGTATGAAGAATATTAAACTCAAACTCCAAGCAGCCCTTAAATATTTGTCATAAAGAAGGGAGAGAGAGTTTGTGGAAGAATTCTCTTACAACAAGGCAAGCTGGTTCATGTTAGCCAGTGATGATGGGATTGTCCCAGAGAAGGTGTTATTGTTGAGTCTCCTGATACCAACCCCATACCTCTTGGTTAGAATTGCTATCATATGGGAACAAAGCGGATACAGTCGTATAAAATACATCCTACTTACAGGTATTGGAGGCTCTTCAAATTGGAGAAAGAGCTAGGAACTTCACCAGAAAACAAATTGTTTGAAAGATCAAGTGTGTGAAGTTTCGGTATCTTGCTAATCTCGTTTGGAACTTTTCCTGATATATAGTTATTCTGAAGAAGCCTGCCAGAAAAAAAAAGAAATCGATTCAAGAACGAATACAAAGAGAAACTTTAGATCTTCTGGTTCTGGTGGAGAGACTTACAAAAATTGAAGGTTTGTCAAATTTCCAATACTTGGTGAGAGTGTCCCAGAAAAGTTTTGGCTTGGAGCTCCTCTGAAATGAAACAACATAAGAACAAAGCATTATATGATGCAGCAGCTTGGAGCTTTTTATTCTTATTGTTTTTGGAATTAAACTTACATGCCAATCACAAGTTTATCAGGAGAGCAAGTGATTAAATTCCAAGTGCATGGATCCACAGCATTTTCATCCCAAGCTAGAACAGAATGAGGATCCTTCAAACCAGCTTTGATTCCCATCAAAGCTTGAACTGAAAAAAAAAAAAAAAACTCAAAATACATCAAATTCTACTCCTTAGACTTGACCAAAATTTGAAACTGAAGAACACGTCTACCTTCAACGTTTAAACGGATGCCCGTTGAAGTTGCAGTTGCAGAAGCCCATAACCAAACCAAAGCCAAGCAAGACAGTAACCCACTTTTTCTCCTAATTTCCATTAAACTTGCTGCTGTAGGTTCATCAAATGACAAGAAGAAAAAAGGAGCAGCTTTTCTGATGAAGATAAAGATGAGGTGATGGAAATAAAGTTAGCTAAAAGATTGGACAAGACGAACTTGACCTGAATTGGTCAGTTTTGGTTTGAACTTGTTAGATATATTTACATTGCTGTGCTGCTTGCTGAACTCAACATTCCTTGAGGCCCCAATTTCTAAAAGAATGGCTCTTAAAAGACACAAAAGAATCAATCTGTCTGCCACTCCTTTGCAAAAAAGGCAAGAGGAGAAAGGGAATATATAAAAGAGAGAACCCACAATAACCAAAACTCAGATACTCTATTATTTAACATGGTTGAAAACAGATGGATTGTTTTGTATTAGTATTAACGTGATGGAAAACAGAATTATCGATTCTATACCCACGATACAAAAGATAAAGCTACCAAAAGAACAGTGTGAATAGTCATAACAGCCGAAGCCCACCGCTAGCAGATATTGTCTTATTTGGGCTTCTCCTCAAGATTTTAAATCGCGTATGTTAGGGAAAGGTTTTCAGTTTTCACGCCCTTATAAGGAATGTTTCGTTCCCCTCTCCAACTGATGTGGGATCTCACAATCCACCCCCTTAGGTGCCCTACGTCCTCGTTGGCACACCGCCCGGCCTCTGATACTATTTGTAACCGCCCAAACCTACTGCTAGAAGATATTGTTATCTTTAGGCTTTCCCTCAAAGTTTTAAAACACGTCTATTGGGGAGAGGTTTCCACGCCCTTATAAGGAATGCTTCATTCCCCTCTCCAATCGATATGAGATCTCACAATCCACCCCCTTGAGGGCTAGCGTCCTCGCTGGTACACCATCTAGTGTCTTGCTCTGACCATTTGTAACAGGTCAAGCCCACCGCTAACAAATATTGTCATCTTTGGACTTTACCTTTTGGGCTTCCCCTCAAAGTTTTAAAGCGTGTCGGTTAAAGAAAACTTCTCATACTTTTATAAGGAATGTTTCGTTTCCCTCTCCAACTAATGTGAGATTTTGCAACCATGGACATAGTTTAGAAGGGGTAGACCATGTACTGTACAGATAACGGTGAGTTCTTTGAATCCAACGTTCCTTGCCTTTGGAAATTTCCTTTCTTTCTATCTTTTGCTTTCACCCCATCAATCATGAAAGGTTGGAATCTCGAGAGAATGGCTCCTCATGATATCTTTGTAACGAAATCATTTCTCAGCTCATCTCTCTCGCCGCCTGGGCGTTGAAATTTCCACCCTCTAAAGACATCTTTTTGAACATTAGTTTTATAGTGACATAATGAAAGCAGAATCCTCTCTCTCCTACAAGACACTTTGTCAAAAGCTCTCTAAAATCTCTTCTTTTGATGCGTTTGTATGTGCAGCGTACAGTGTGACTGAAGCTACACGTGCAACTTTGGTTCCATTATAATATGAGTTAAGCTGGGGGTTGACTTGATGTTCTAAACCCATCTGAATTTTGGCCTTTAGTGCCTCTTCTTAACTTTTAAAGCATGATTATCATCACTTTTTGTATTGAACTTGATCAGGTGGTACTCATTCATGTTCATTGGTGCTGTGGATTGATTATAGGCACTTGATCCAAAACGTGTTGAGATGAGTGGGATTGCTTTCTGGTCTTCTCATTAATCTATTCCATGTTTTTTTGTTTGGTTTTTTTAAGGTGGGAGATGCTTCAAAATGCATTGTGGGAGAACCAAAAAGACGAGCTAATTAAGAACTCTGGTATGTCTTTGCTTCATTCAGAAATTGCCTGTCAAGTTTGAAATTTTCTGTACAAAGGTGTAGGGAATTTAGAAAGATACAAGTTTGGGAGTAGGAACTTTGTGTATTCTTTTCGAATAACACAGACCATCCAACCTGGACCATAAGAATTAGGTTGTGGTAGATTTTTTTTTTTAATTTTTCGGTTTGAGTTCGTATCGTTTTAACTTCTTTATTTGATTCTTCTCGATTCATAGACCTCATTAATTTTAATAAAATAAGTGACATAGTTGACCTTAGTTACTAAAATCGACCTCGTTTTAGTTAATGAATTTTAATAAGTCAGTAATGAACATAGATGGGATGAATTATAATTTAAGTTTTTATCTATTTACCAAACAAATAATAATAAATAAATAAAACAACACAATATTAATTTGGAAAATTACAAAATTAAAAATAAAATTTTATAAACTAGTTTGTTTTATTTCCACTTAGTGTATTATTTACCAAAGTTTTAACCACGATGAAAAAATTTTAAAAAAACTTTGTTCTTGAATTGGGGCAAAAGGCTCAAGTATACGTCGCTTGGCTGTAGGCGATGCAAGAATGAATAGGCTTAACTCACTTGTGGCTGAGAAATGGGTGCCATACAATCACAAGTCTGCTGTCATGTAAGTGTCAGGCGACGCAAGAATGAATAGGCTTAATTCACTTGTTGCTGGGAAGTGGGCGTCATACAATTGCAAGTCCGCTATCATCAAAGTGCGATTGTGACAAGTGGGACTCGAATTTCTCCTTCCTAGTATACCTAAAGCAATATATATATATATATATGTTTATGTAGAATTTTACTTTGATTTAAGTGGGTAAGATTCTCTGAAAGTCAAAAGGATCTCTTTCCATAAAGTAAAAAACTTGTCTAAAATCCCTTTTTATTACACCAATGGTTACCTATCAAGTTTTATTCTTAGTCTTAATTACTCCTCTTTCTCGACTGCAGTTTTCAACTCAATCTTGTTCTTTCCCATCATAAACTCAATAAATTCGAAATTTTGAGTTGATCGAACAAAAATTCCACCCCAACCCAACTCAATCTATGTCCACCTTATTTCTCAACCTTTATAAAATATAAATTCGAACGTGTTTAAGAGAATTCAATTAAAGAATTCAATTAAAGAGAATATTTTTCAATTTCATGTATTTGTTAAAGAAAGAAAGAAAATCATAATTTTACATAAAAATAGTAATAAAAAATACTTTATAATAATTATTATTAACAACATCATTTTGTCTCCTCTAATGTAAAACAACTCACTTTTAGTTAACAATGGAAGTCAACCAAAAAGTAAACTATGGTAAAAAAAAGTAAATAAAATAAATAAGTGAGTGCATAATTGAAGTGGAACACAACCAACTTTAAATGTTTAATTTTTTTATTTAATATTTTGTCTTTTATAATTACACTAAAAATTCTAGTGGAATTGTCACCAATTATAAGATTCTTTCTATTTTTAAAATAAAAAATAAATAAATTTTTTCATTGTCTACATTTGAAACCAACCTAAGCCATTATATATTATTTTAAAAATATATAATAATAAAAAGAATTTGCTAAGTGGGATTATTGGGCCACCATCATAGGCCCAGCCTCTAATAACTACACTTCTGGCCCATTTACGACTTTTGGATACCGTTTTTAAATTATTTTTTTAATATATATAATCCCCGCCTAATAAAAATATCATTAAACTTTGCAATCTGTCTCAAAAATACTTTAAACTTTGGAACGTTTTAATAATCTCCTAAACTTCAAAAATATCTAAAAAAATACATTTATCGTCAGTACCACGTTTAAAAAGTACTCATGAACTTTCAATAATAATATTAAAAAACTTAAAATAATCTATGAGGTGTGGATAGCCGGCTTTCTTTCATATACTGACAGTATTATTTTTTTTATAAAGTTAAACGATATTAATGTTACTTCAAAATTTCATAGATATTTTTAAACATTGGACTGATAGTAAATAAAAATATTTTGAAATTGAATTTGGAGTGTCATCTTGTTCTATCCATTGATGATAAAACCAACGTATGGTTTAACAGCTGACCCAATCCACAGCCTCCCTTTACGTTCTTCAACTTCACTCACTGACTCAAGTGCCTGCCCCTCCTCCCCATCAATCATCCCCTTCACTTCCCCTCTCTCGTCCAACTTCACCGCCACCGGGTCGCCCCGAATCCATGGGATCTTCACCTCCCCGTGCTGTGTTGTCGCTCCCCCGAGCCCCATCCATGTCTGGGTTTCGAGCTTCCCTCTTCCCGTGTTCATGGCAATCCAAAATTCACCGTTGTCTGTTCTCTTTATGTTGTCTGGGAACCGTTCGAGTTGTGCGAATATCTCTGTGGTTTGCGCTTTGGGACCCTTTTGTTAAGAACATGAACAAATGATTACGTGTACCATTTAAATGAAAGGACGATAAAAACACGAGGTTCGATGTTTGATATCAGTTACTTCCTTTTCGAATAGAAAGGTATAGCCAAACGATCCCATATCCCAACTTAAACCCTAAACTGGAAACAGACAACCACGTTCCCGAACTTACCAACACTAGAGGTTTACTAAAAATCATTCAAATTTAACCATGCACGACAGGTAAGAAGAATTTTTTAAAAGTAGTGGTAAAAAATTTTCATACCTTTAACCAGAACTTTAAGATCTGGAGAGTGCCGGTTTCAGCCATTAGAAGAAACGAGGAGTCAGTGCTCAAAGCAACGCCATTTGGGAAAGCAAGACCATTGATCAAAACAGTGACGTTTTTGGTACATGGGTCATATTTTAGTAGCCTCCCGGTCCTGTCTCCGTTCACTATCGACAATATCCAAACACTTTCCGAAGAAAGTAAAAAAAAAAAAACCATATTTGTATTATAATCGCAAATAATCTAACAACTTCCATCGTGATTGATTAATTACATTTTATTTTATTTTGATTATATTAAGGTTTCATAAACATAAACCTAAATTGGGATTTAATGAATTATTTTGATTAAAAAGAAAAAAAAAAGTGAATAATTTAAAATTTTTATTTTTGTTTAAAAATTATTAATTATTTGATGTTGTTTTATATATATATATATAAATTAATGAACCTAGAGACAGCTAGGTCCATCCTATTTGTCGTGTGTCTATCCACATTTTGTGGAAATTTTTTTGGATTTGAAAAATGTCTGTCATTTATTAAATGGCATTTAGTAGTATGTTTCTTTTTAAAAAATAAAAATAAATTAATTAATAAAAATGGGTTTTATGAAAATAATAATAATAATAATAATCCAGGGCTAATTATTGCAATATTAAAAAAAAAAAGTATTTTTATAAATATTTTATTTTAGTTTTCAAAGTAGTGTAATAAAAATAAAATATTTTTAAATTTAAAGATCAAAATAAAATATAAATAATTTGATTTTACGAATTTCAAAAGGGATTATTAGGGTTAAATGGATTTTTACCTT